GTGTGTGTGTGTGTGTGTGTGTGTGTGTGTGTGTGTGTGTGTGTGTGTGTGTGTGTGTGTGGTGGAGGGGATCCTGATAAAGAATTCTGTGAAAGTAATACAATGGGCTTGCTTGATGAGGTGTTGGTTTGGAACAAGATATTCAGTACTGGTTAGTTCAACAACAACAACAACAACAACAACAACAACAACAACAACAACAACAACAACAACATCAACAACAACACAGAAAAGTTTCTAAGCTGATGTTAGCACAAAATCTTGGACATTGTTTACTATTTTTTTTCTAATAGTTGCACTGACAAATTAATGACTATAGTCTGCAGGACATGCATGATTAGTGAGAAAACATGATGCCACTTGGTAGAAAAAAAATTAACAAAGAAAATATTGAAAAACTACAACCAATGTTGTGTACTTCCTTACTTTGCAAATCCTTCGAAGCTTCCTTAACCGAGTAGGAACTGTTGTACCAGTCTGATTTTTAGACGGAACAACTTCAGCGGTGCACACCTTTCTCGCCATTGGTCAGTCATTTGTTTACTTCAAAACAGGTGGCGGAAATACCGATTGTGGTAAAAAAAAATGTTTATAATTTTGATTTTATATAATATTTATGTGCATTTCTTATTTTGCATGATCTATTTACGTCTTAAAGCTAAAAACAAATGGGACGACTATTAATTTACCGATTAGAACGATAGCTTAGCTTGCTAAGTTTAGCTGAGATTTTATTTTGCTGCTCTTCCTGCGGCAAGCTGAAATGTATCTAAGTATTATTAGTATATCGATTGGAAGTTGATAAAATCCATGATTATGAAATATACTTAGCAACTTTTTCAGCTGTTATTAGATATTTTAGTACCAAAATTTTACCTCGGTATCAACAATTGTCATGACTGTGACTTGTCACTAGTTTGCTAATCGTTGTTTCGGAGCTGCGTTTATTTTATCTACAGAATAAATAATAGCATTATCATTGCTCCTTTTAGATTCTTCAAAATCATGGATGCAGAAAATGCATTTTTGCGTGACCAAGGTAAAAAGCAAATGGGGAAATAATCGTTTTGAATGTTGTTTTATTGTGTTAAGACTGACCCGAAAACCTGGAAGCTTGGTATTAATTCTGTTGTTTTTAGTTAACAGGTTAAATTCTGTTCTCAGCCAGTGTCAAAATAGACAGGACACCCAGCCTACACCATCTCAGGTAAACGTTATTTTAAGCCTCAAAATCAACCCTACTTAGCTYACACAAACCAAACAAATTAGCTACATCAGTATTGTCTGGTAAACATTTAGATTCATGTGTCTGCTTTTGTTTTCTAATAGTTAAACGAAAAATATAGGTCGGTGTCCCTCACCTCAACTACTGCCAAGCTCTTCTAGCATTTTTCCAAGCATTCACATTTTAAAAACATATTTTACCTGAAAACACTTGTCGTCTAATACTATTTATTAATGCTTTCACACTTTAATCAGGGATAGTCAGGATCAGAAGTTTCTACCACTGCTACTTTGTGAAAAATTAGATGACTATTGTTTTATTACAGTGACTTTTTTTCTCACATGTATGCTTTATCAGCCTAATCTTTTGTATTTTAAATCTATCACTACATTTTCTTTTGAGAGCCCTAAAATAATACTAGAAGCCACTAAACTACATGTTCAAGTAGTACACCTGTGTTGCAATACTGACACCCATCGAAAAAGTCTGAAATATGAGAACARATTTGACATTTATTTAAATAGTGTAAACAGCTAAAAATCACACAACCTGATAAAAGTAATAATAATAAAATAATTTCAATAAATTCCAACAAACATGTAAAAACTCAAATGCTTTTCTGTGTGCAAGAATGCAGAAATAAGGCTGGCAGGAACATCTGTATATGCTTTACACTTTTAGATTTTTGGTCAAAATGACCAGCATATTAACTGTATATGCAGCAGGATTTTATTGTTTTTATGGCAAGATGACAAATTATTACCGTGGTGAATTTCTTTGACAGTATATTGCACATGGTAACATCGTCCATCCCACTTGGATATGATTAGTTGCTCTATATAACTAAATGTAAATGTCAACACTAGATAAAACTTTTTCCCTCTCTCTAGTAATAAGGAATTAACTCAAAAAAGGAACAAAGTAAAAAGGGATATATGTTTCTACATTTCTTAGTATCTTCACAGATCAAACAAACAAACAAACAAAAAAGGGATTACTAAACAGGCTTGAATAGTTGCATGTGCGTTCTCTGTAACTCATTCATCTTTTTATCAGTGGCCAAGCATATGGGAGTGTTTAGTATAATTTGATATGATCTGATACACAGAAAATGTGGACATCACTTGTATGGCTTGTGTCTGTCAGGTTGAGGAGATGCGGCGAGCAGAACCTCCTGCTCCTTGGCTCTCAGACAGAGGGTCAGTTGAACAGTTTTTCATTTTGTTGTTTCTTTTTTATCATATTTTAAAACCTCGCCGTCAGAAAACTCAAATAAATGTGTTCATGAACGTGACCAGGTGCAAAACATTTTTTTTATGTTATGTTAAGTTTTGTGATTATCCCTCTATGTTACAGTATAATGGCTCCTCTTATAGCAGAATATGATCAGCACATGGATGAAATGACTGAACGGCTGCATAAATACCAGGTAGGAATGAAAATGTTAATGTGAGATGTTTAAACGCGTGKTTTTTATTAAATATTTTGACTTTATTTGTAAAAGGTGCATACTGAAGAGCCAAGGACAGATTATTAAAGAGCTTGCGTATAAATATGCAGCAAGCTGATGAAAGCCTCTTGAGAAATCTTTGTCTCCAGGCAAACATTTTGAACAAGTGCCCCTGTGCTTGTTTAACAGGTGATGATGACGGACATCAAACTGAAGCTGGAGAGGGTTGTGAAAGAAAACGAAAGGTAGAATAGTTTTATTGATGTGAAAGGTGACTGAAAATCTGAGAAAAATATGAATCATTTGTATAAAACAAAACCTTTTTGGTCACAAGAGACACTCACGGGAAAAATAATAATACTTGAAATATTTCTTTTAAGTGACTGCAGTGATRTATCAACTAGAACAGGTTTTATAGTAAGTCTGTGGTCAGTAATGTGTTTATGTTTATTTTTTTATGTTTACCCAAATGTCTAAGTTGGTGCTGAATAAAAAAGATGCTTAACAGGCTGTAATGAGAGAACATTAAACATTTAAATTTTTTAATGTGACATGACTGAATGAATGAACATTTRGTACCACCCAATAATAATAAAAACCTTTTCCAGGTTGCATGCAGAGCTAAGAGAGTCCATTGAGAAGCAGCTCCATGCCATGCCCATGGCTTCAGGGGCYGAGGCTGGAACAGTAGAGGAGGATACCATCATCAGAAACCTGCAGGAACAGGTTCAGCTGTCTGAACAGGTCTGTGTCTAATTTTGTTTATGTGTGTCTGTTTATTTTAATCTAGATTAGGCCCACATTTGTAGTTAGAATGTTCAAGCCATTTCTTAGCAATTTATACCTTTATGTAATACATTTCTTTTTTTTTCCTTGTTATTTTTTTTGTTTACACACCAAAATTTTGATTATTAGAAAGTTCTTACTGTGAAGTCTGGAATGAATTCTAAATTTCAACCCAGACTTCTCATAACAGATGTATGATTTATGGTGCTGAAAAGAAAAGACATTGAATTTTTAAATACTTATTCAACTATCTTTATTGCTTTTTCTACAAAGATACTAAATAAAGATAATGTAAATAAACAATATTTAAATTGGTAAAACTGAGGAATTGTACCTTTTGAATTGGCAGAAACTCATCTAAAAAATGTAACATTGGCTACAAAAAGATGCAACATTTAGTGGTGACCATAGGAATCAGCTGTAGGGCTGTGTATTGGCAAGAATTTGGCGATACGATACATATCATGACATAGGGGTCACGATACGATATATCCCAATATATTGCGAAATATTGCTATTTTTTTTGTCCAAAAATTCTATTAAATAAGAACCTCTTACAGGGGAAAAAAATGAAAAACCAAAATTCATTGTCTCAGAAACTTCTAATATTACATAGACATACTTTTGATACATTTAGCTGTGTTCTGCTTTGTATGTATTTTATTTTATTTGTTTCATATTTCATCCATGTTTT